GCTCAAAATGCAGTCTAACAAAAGATGTCTGATCAACACGTCCATCTACCTCTCAATATTGACTGTGTGCTGTTAACTAGAACAGGTCAGGTCAAGTATTTGTAAGTTTGGCTCCTTTACTAATTTTCTATGGACTGTTTTTGTTTTTGTACTTTTTATTTTTGGTGACTTTTTTTGGTTTTATCACAGTCTATGATAATTTCAACATAGACTGGCAACAGACATTGTAATCATAAACAGCCCACAAAGAACTATTGTTGAATTATAAGCCAAATATAATTAAAAGTTGTAATGCAATAGTCCTTGTCAAAAACATTGGAAGTTGAAATCTGTTACGCTTTATTTACTAAAACCATGTTTAATATCTTCAAAATTAATCTTACCATGGATAATGTAGATAAAACACCGTAACATTACTACACATCTCTGCAAGTTGTAATTCAGTCTTTTCTGTAGGCATTACGTTTTTGCTGTACAATATACCATATGAATCTCATATTGGAGGTCTACAAAAATAGATTTTATTAATGTAACAGAAACATAACATTTTACATTTTAAGTTCAGTATGCTTAAATGTTTGCATTTCATTTTCATTCAATATTCATATCACCATAATTACTGTTGTAATACATTACATAAGTGCTGTCAGTTTTTTTTTTTGTATTGGTTGTCAGCTAGTTCTTTCGATAAAGCTTATAATTTGCCCTTACCCTAATTTGAATTCAGATTTCTGCATGTTCAGCGTTTTGCCAAGAGACGCCCAAAATATAGAATTAAAGTGTAATCTAAGTGTATAAGAAAGATTCATACAATAGAGGCTTATATTAAAATGTCTTGTATTGTAAACTCTTTTATTTTGTTGCGCTCAAAGACAGTCACTTTTTAAAGTAATGAGGGGTCTCTTGAGGCATCAGCTGTTGATATGTCAGCATCATTGCCACATGGCAGGCTTACCGCACAAACAGACCAATCAAGAGTTTGTTGAGGTATAGTAACCCACTATGACTGACCAAACAAAGGGAAAGAAAAACCTGCATATGCCACAGTACACACATAAAGATTTGGGTAAAGACAGTCACAACTTAAAAGAAGTTTACAGACAGTTAACATTTAAAAGAAACCGTAGTTTTAGCTGCAAAAGAAAGAAAAAAACGGTAATGTGGAGATAAACGTTCAACCTCATATTTATTTACACATGGATGTGCTTATTCAAAACCATTCATCAAAGGGTGACGATTCTTGTTTACTCCAGATCTGCAGGTGTCTGAAAAGCAGATTGTGTCCAGCCCTTAGAGTTTCTTAGTTTTAGTATGAGTGAGCATGATTTTACAATATACTCTTCCCCTTAGAACTAAAATTCTGAAAATTTTAATTTACAATAGAAAATATAATTACACAGGATAAACGTAGCAAGAAATATTCAGTTGCATATAAGTTATAATAAACACAATACACAATTCAGTCTGTGTAATAAAACATTCCAACCTGTTTTCACAGTTAAGTCAACTCAAGCTAAATGACGTTCTCATTTCTAAATTGCAAAATCTGTGTGATTTGGGAGCCCTAGATAGCACAAAACAAACCTCTAAATCTAGTGCCATACACACAGGGATGAGTGAATAAGCCCTTTTAACTACAAATATTTTATGTATGTGTGTTTTAGGAGAGATTGGGTTATGTTAGAGCACATATGTGACCATGGACCACAAAACCAAGTCATAAGTGTCAATTTTTCCAAATTGAGATTTGTACATCATCTGAAAGTTGAATAAATAAGCTGTCAATTGCTGTATGGTTTGTTATGATAGGACAATATTTGGCTGATATACAGCTGTTTGAAAATCTGGAATCTGAGGGTGCAAAAAAAAAATCAAAATATTGAGAAAATCACCTTTAAAGTTGTCCAAATGAAGTTCTTAGCAATGCATATTACTAATCAAAAATTAAGTTTTAATATATTTATGGTAGGAAATTTACAAAATATCTTCATGGAACATGATCTTTACTTAATATCCTAATGATTTTTGACATAAAAGAAAAATCGATAATTTTGACCCATACAATGTATTTTTGGCTATTGCTACAAATATACCCCAGCGACTTAAAACAGGGTCACATATTTGAAACGAGTTTGGTGCACTATTAGACTCATTAAAATGAAATAAAGGACAGTGCCAACTTTTCTGAAATGCATGGGCTTTTACCCGTTTAGACTGTCTGAATTCAAAGAAAGGTTTTGGTAAAAGAGCCAATTAAGAATAAACTCCACTGATTCCTGTGTTTATTAGCTATTTTTAATAATTTGAGCATTTGCTTGGGTAATATTTAGCATTGCCTATGTTAGGCAAAGATATATAGCTATATAAAAAGCATGACCTAAAAGCATTTATGCAGCTTGGCACCCAACATTTTTGTATTTTTGTAACATTAAGGCTTTACTTTAGGAAGTAAAACAGAACAGAAGGTTTAAATCCTCAAAACACGCCGTGAACTTGCTAACAAATAGTTCAGAGTAGTAGTATTTTTCCTACAGTGTTAGTGTTTAGCAATCAATTTACTCACATTCAAGTAAAAGCAACTAAAGAAAACAATCTAAGTCATGAAAAATGATTATAGTAGTCAGTTCTGGTGTGCTTGAGCTGAGAAATGTTTTCATCTGATATGTCAGACCTTTGATACCGTTTGCCCTTTTAATGCATGATGTTCTGCCCTTTTATACCCATTGAGAAACAACAACGAGAAGAAACGGACACAGGCTGTAGCCTAGATGAGTTTTAAGGAGATAATGTGATTAGGCCTGTCGCAATAATCAATATATAGACTTAACGCGCAATATATGTACATGACCTCAATCATTTTTGGTGACGCAATATACTTTGTTTAGGTAAGCCTTTTTCTGCAAGCGTCTGAGAACGAGCGCGTCTGATTTCGCTCCCTTGGTGACGTGGCAAAGGGATCTCATTAT